GTATCTGGCTTACGGTACGGCGAAACATATTATATATGAAGTTAAAATGGTGAAAACTGGAGAGTACGTAGGTAACTTGTTAAGTTAGTTAGTTAGTTCTTTTATCAAATAACAAGTAGCGCCCGTGAACTTAGTTGCTACGTACCAATAAATAGAATATTTTGCTATGCTATTCATAAAGACTGTTCACTTTTCCAGAATATACATCTTAATTTTTTTATCTAGGTACATAAGAACCTTTCTCAGAATATAAAAAAAATACTCGATTTGGTCCAATCGTCTCCGAGTTTTAAGCTAAGCAACATATTTTGAGATTTTATTTATTTATATAAAATTATATCATCGCCAGCGAAAGTAGTTAGCATATGAATTATTATAAAATATTTAGGTTTAAAAAGAAGTTTCACTATAAGTAAGTCCATCTACCAAAAACCGTCGCAGTCGTATTCGAAAGAGGTATACTGCTATTTCCCTGATATCATGCAAGGTGTTGTAAAGACTCGCTAAGTCTATACAGAATATTAGATAAGAGGTATAGTTTAAGGACCTGATAATATTTTTTTTAAAGGCGACGTTATCTTGTGAGTACAAACACTTATTGTGGAAAAGGGAAGAACAGTGGTATTTTGCGAAAACCTCTATCACCGATGTTAATCTTTTGCCATTATGTTTAGTAATTCTAAGGGCCGTTATCTTAAGTGATATGAATCAACGATAAATCGTCGGGCTGCGCAATAAATCATAATACACACAATAAGTGTCCGCGTGTCGCACATGTTGTTAATTTTGTACCGCACGCTGCGAAGGGCGCTACGATAACATTCAGCAAGCACGTCACTGCTTTTATGCCTACCTTTGACCGACCGAATTTCATTTCATTTGTACTTCTAGGAGCGTTAGACTTTCGTTATAGTTCCTATTACTAAAACTATGCCTCTAACAAACGCGATGACTTTTTAAAGAGTTTTAATTTTTATATTAAACATTTGATCGCATTCGTATCGTCTGAATACGTACCTTAGATACAAAAGTCGACGGCGTGTATCAGGAAGAAAAGGCTGATTACTACTACTTGCATCTTAACAAAGATCAAGAAATAAATACAAAGAGGTGTAACGCCTCTGAAAAATATATTAATTATTTACTATTTTACTTTACATGGGAGTGATGCGTTTAAATTTTTTGACATTTTAAACATTTGTACTTCACAATTAAAGTATAAATTATTCATAAAACACTGTATAAAACGTCTTAGAGAAATATCAACTAAAGGTCATTAACCTTTCAAAGGTCATGAACTCAAAGTTGACCTATCAGCTGTTCGTTAGCTTAATCATAAGCTCTAAGTAGTTGCTTAGTTAATAGATTTATAGCAAGTAATCGTTTTATGAGATTGATAATTTCACTATAAACATAATTTGCATATTGCTGCTTATAATACTATTTAAGTATGTATAAAAACCAATCATGTATTTTGTTATTAATAAAAAAAAATATTTATTAATTTATTTATTACGAAAACTGTAACACGGTACTAGTAAGATTCGAGGCGTGTTAAATACATTTTATTACAATGCTAATAAGTCTATCTCGATAAGACTTGGAACAGTTTTATAGTCGGGTATTGAACCCGCTCGCGGTTTATGAAACACGAAACAATGGTTGAACCGAAATGAAATCCAATCTTTATTGTTCATCTAAATATTCGATAAACTGAAACTATTTAAATTGATTTCCATTAAGTTAATTTCTACTATAGATTGCTGCCAGTAGTCACCGAATAAGGCAGAGTTTTTATTCCCACTGTTTAAAGTTATATAGAATATAACCAAATCAAATTGTTTTTTATTTATTTGAGTATAAAAAAATTCTAACCTGAGATGTTCATGTTCGAGCCTTGATTACATTTATACAATTGGTAATTAAAAATAAAGACTTTCTTAAAGTTACCCACAACACAGGGAGGTGTTGCGTTAGATCAATTGTCACAACCATATTTCTGTCCTAAATAGTTTTATTATTACACCAGTTCACAGCATTATCAAAAACATCGATTTGTTCTAGTCGGTTTTTATAAAGTATGTTAAACTGGTTCAGTTCCCAATAAGCAATATGTATAAGAATTGCTGTTAGTTTTATTTCAGCATTGAGAGGAAACCCGGATAAAATTGAGCTTGTATGGAAGCTCGAACGTGGAACCCGATAGGGCACAATTGTTTAATTTCCTACTTGCGTGAAAAAAATTTAAGAAACGGAAAGAAACCCGACCGATCATCGAAAACCCAGCATTAAGAGGAAACCCGGATAAAATTGAGCTTGTGGACGTGGCGAGGGGCGCTTTTTTTTTTTCCCGTGAAAAAATAAAAAGAGAACCCGCTCATTGAAAACCCAGCATTAAAGGACGATTGAGCTATGGGACCGGATAGGGCACAATTGTTAATTTCCTACTTGCGTGTAATAAATTTAAGAAACAGAAAGAAACCCGACCGATCATTGAAAACCCAGCATTAAGAGGAAACCCGGATAAAATTGAGCTTGTATGGAAGCTCGAACGTGGAACCCGATAGGGCACAATTGTTTAATTTCCTACTTGCGTGAAAAAAATTTAAGAAACGGAAAGAAACCCGACCGATCATCGAAAACCCAGCATTAAGAGGAAACCCGGATAAAATTGAGCTTGTATGGAAGCTCGGACGTGGGACCGGATAGGGCACTATTGTTTAATTTCCTACTTGCGTGAAATAAATTTAAGAAACAGAAAGAAACCGACCGATCATAGGAAATAAAGTTAAGTTAGTCAAAAAGTTATTTCAGTTTACTCCTCGATATTTGTCTCATAAATGCAAATTCGTATTTCGTGTCTTTGTAAATGTTCGTACATCTCAAATAAATAAACTAATCGAGCATTAAATTTTACGATTATTTCTGTACGTCGTGCGTTTTAATTAAGAGACCAACTCGCTATATAATAATAGCTTAGAGCACGGTAAAATGGTTGTAATTATTCAAAACACAATTACACTATTTTAATTTGATGGCCTTTTGATGCTTCTGAAATAATAATAAACATTGCTTCCTTAATGCCAATTTCAGAGTTTATGTTATTTTGCACTATGCGTTCTTATATAATGTAAAACTTGTAAGTTGTCTCTCCGTTTCAGTGATATAAAATGCAATATGCAATTATATATTAATACTTGTTTGTAGATTAAGAAGATATTAATTGCTGCCCGTGGTCATAGCATTGCATATAAACTGGATTTTTGATTCCCACCAACAAAAAAATAATTTTATACAATAATAACACTCACCAAATATGAAATCTCTAAATAATTAAAAAATATACCATATTAAATTTAACTGATTAAGTTATATTTTTTAAATATATACAGTGACACATTTTATATACCCCTTGTATACAAAAGGTAAATATAAACGTACTAAGCTATTTTTGGCTGTGATATTATACCTAGTAATATAAATAACGAAAATATGCATAAAACAGCTACAGAATAGTTTTACGCTTATAAGTGATGCCTAGCTTCACGATATGCTGCCCAACAAGACATTGACAATTGAAGCATGTAGAAGAAATGTGCTTTAAACTTAAAAATTTATCCCAAAATCATTCAGCTCAACCAATTTTGTAGGCATTGCTTAAAGGGCATATATATTTTAAAGCCCAGCGTAAAAAATCCTATCTTAATGATTACTTATCATAATATAAACTATTAACTCGAAACGAACCTATTCTTTATAGCGCTTTCTTCTTGGTTGGCTTATTACAATATCACACACCTTTTTATGTTTTGTCCTTATTACTCTCCGGTCAGTTTTTAAACTGAATAGAAGATACAACACTATTTTTAGTCTTGACTTTGCTTATCTTAATATATAAAATTCTCGTCATCGTTCTTTGTCCGCAAGTGTAGGACTCCTAATACTACTGAACCGATTTCAATCAAATTGGCACAGCCGTGTGGAAGTTAGATCTAAATAACAAGATAATTGACAATCTGAATTTAGACCCGCATTAATATTTTATTGAAAATATTTGTTTTTGTTTGATACAATGTCTAACAGATGGCTGCTAGTGTTAAAAGTACCAATCGTTAAAATCCCGCGAAAAAATCTATCTACCATTTTATATAAGTCTCTATCTTCTGTTTCCCTTGAATAGGTTCTACTCAAGCCTGTATGTAATATAACAAGAGCCATACCACAGGCGGATCACCTAAAGTCCGGTCTGCTAGTACAGACTACCAGGAGGTTTGCTATTTTGTCAGACTTCTATTTCCTAAGCTGTATCTTGAAGCCACTAAGTCGTAACCGTTCTGAAAAATCAAAGAGCCGTGTGGATGGAAATTTTGAGACTATTTTATATGACGATTATCTTGAAAGTCAACGATCTGATTCAGTTGACCTCGAAAACAATTTAAATAGTCCAAGAGATCCTGTATTTGTCTACCAACGTTATCTAACGACCATGGCTGCTTCAGTGTCAGTCTTCGTGGTCGTTAAAATCCCGGAAAAAGATATTAAACATTAAGTCACAATTTATCGTTCTGTTCATATTTACCTTAAGCGGCTCCTCAGGGCCACATTGCCAATATTGTTACTTGTTGTTGATGTTTACTTTAAGTCCACAAAGATTTATTCCTATATCCTATTATTATTAATTACTTGATATGTCATGTGGGACATGGTGTAATGGTTGCAGCTCCTTACAAACGTTGTGTAAAAAAATATTTAAAAAAATGGCGATCAAAAATAGTGGCGGAGAGTTAATTGCCAGTTCTTCTCTTCCGTTCTACGCCCTTGATTTGAGAACTGGCAGTAAAATTAGAAGCATTCATATGTATTTCTTTACTGACGAGTCATAAGTGTACATTATGTTACCTATATGATTAAATGATTTTTTATTTTACTTTACTTTATATCATTACGCGAAGCCCCTTATTAGAATTAAACATAAGATCAACATCTGTGAAAATACTTACGTGTGATCTTTGAGTACTGCTTCTAGTTTTCCGGAATGTGTATTCCATACGTAGGCGGCGCCGTCCGCCGCGCCCACCGCGAGAAGCCGCCCGCCCGGGCCGAAGGCGGCGCGCGACCAATCGCAACCCACTTTGAAGGAATCGTGGCTAAAAAATTGTTGATTTTAAGTCACTTTATTACATTCTACTTATATTTATTAGGTAAACATTGTTTTAACGAAATTTCGTTAATATTTAATTATTTAATACTTTGTTGCATACACCAGAAAAGTTAAATATTTAGGACCAACTGGCGGCCTTATCGCTAACAATCGATCTAGTAAAGAAAAATAAAATTTAAATTTAAATGTTTACCGCTAAAGTATGCTATTTAAATTGACACAATACACACATATCAAGTATAAATAGTTTCGGCTTGTGTTAATTATTTTGAAAATAAGTCTTACCTGAAGGACCGCACAATAGTATTCATTCTTAAGTCTATGAGTTGTATTGTGTCATCTCGCACGCACGCTAATAAATAATTACTATCTGAAAATCAAATTTAAAAATTAGTTTCTTGTAGTTCGGATAGTCCTAAAAGGACAAAAGTAATTTGCAAAGGTTTGCTTTGGAACACAGTTATGTAACTGGTATATTGCTTCTGATATACCTTTCCGTAAAACTTTATTTTAAAATAACCCCGAATTCTAACCTTATGTTAAACATGTATGTGTATATATTTTATTTATATATTCACGCATTTCCCCCGAAGGGGTAGGCAGACACCACGGATGTTCACTTACTACGGTTCTGACACCTCTCTCGCTATATCCACTTTCGTATTAATCTAATACATATATAAAATTCTCGTGTCACAATGTTCGTTCCCATACTCCGAAACGGCTCGACCGATTCTTATAAATTTATTTATGTATATTCAGTAACTCTGAAAATCGGCGACTATCTATCTTTCAAACACCTAAATGCTCAGGGTGGTCCACCCCTACATTTTATTTTTTAGATAAAATTTTTTGTTTTTATTTTTTTATGATACAGCATACAAAAATACATACAACCTTTAATTTTCACCCCTCTAAGATCAACCCCTATTTTTCATTTGTTAATTAAAAACTTATGACTTGAACTCTGAATTAAAAATTCACAGAAATACCAAAAAAGTTTTCATTCCGGAAAACCGAACTGTCTCTGGGTTAGCATAGCAAAATGTTCCATGTTCTTAAATGGAAGGCTAAGTAAAATCACATCAAGGAGAAACAAAGTTAGCGGGGGCAGCTAGTATTATATATACATGTGTGTATTTATGTGTGTACATAAGATACTTTGCATGTGACAGTTATTTAAACTTAAATAATTCTAAATTTTCCAATTGAATGAATAATCATTAAAATAAAAAGCTTCAAGATTGAAATGTGATACATAAACATTTATTTAATTACTTAACCTTAACTGTCTCACGTAACAGGAAATGTCCCTCCAAAGGATAATTTAATGATTCCGAAATAATCTTGAAGCAACCAAAAAGATAATAAAGAACATGCCACATATAACGGGATATATTATTCTCGAATTAAACAAACACTTGTAACTGGACCTAAAAACTTTAGTAAAATTATATACAACATCCTATTATAGCAATTTATCATGTTTACTGCGATCATAGTGTATTATTACATAGTTTATTGGTTTTCTATGTTCGCGAAAGGATTAACCTCTGCAATACCAAAACCTTTCGCAGTATAAGGTAAAAAGCAGTTGAGACCACTAGATTATGCCAGGATTATTATTAAATTAAATGGGGACTTTACACGATAAAATCTCTCTCGCATTTATCATAGTATTAGCGGATGGACAATCAATTGGGGTTTAATTTTGAAATATTATCGCAAAGTGGTACAACATTTCTATGGCGATTGATTACGAGGAGTTTGTATATGAATATGTGGGTCACCGCATCCGCTGTTTACGGGTACATCAGCGCGTAACAGATGATTGATGCTCTTGATGGATCTGGATCAGGCGTGACGTCTAACTGTGAATCTCCCAATTTGTTGGCCGATCGGTCGAGCGAGGTCGTCGGCGGAATCGACGTGATTCAATCAGTTTCCGAAAGACGTCCAGACGCAGCGATAGAATGTATCAATCTCGGTATTTCGTGCTCTGTCCGGACCGTTACCGACAAAAAAGGGTTTGATCGAGACACGCGTAACGGAAATAGGCATCGCCTACCCGTCACGTTGTTGTTCTGACACGAATACCGATAATAATATTCTGGGTATTCAATTATAAGAACACTATAGAAATTAAAACAAGTATGAAAACCGTTCAAACGTTTGGCAATCGTGAGAAAGCGATGTGTTTAATTAATACCAATCAATAGTACCTCTACTGAGATCGAGTGAGGTGACTTTGCCCTGAAGCATAATGTGATTGGCTGACATTTCTGTTCGTATGTCCCAAAATCGTATCCGCTTGTCGAAGTGTCCTGAAATGATGGTCGATCCTGCGCCGTCTGACGTCACGAGGTCATTGCAAGATGATCCCGCGAATTTGGTTTCTGTACCTGTAAACAAAAACAGAATTTAATTACGGGAGATTTTGTAGACACAAAGTGAATTTGTTGGGTGCTAACTTACATTACTTACAACTAAGCCTACGACATTAAAAATACATTATTCATTTAATTATAAACAACATTATTCTAGGGGCTCTGAGCAGTGTTGGCCAAGTAGCTTCAGCGTGCGAGTCTCATCCCTGAGGTCGTAGGTTCGATCCCCTGCTGTGCACCAATGGACTTTCTTTCTATGTGCGCATTTAACATTCGCTCGAACGGTGAAGGAAAACGAGCCTAGTTTGATGTACGCTTAATTTAGTTCTGTTTCGAGTATTATACTGGTGAAAGTCAATATTTATTTTAAAATCGTATAAAAATATATAAATTATAATAAATTGTCTCGTAAAGAAAAAAATATCAAAAAATATAATCTATCTAAGGCCAATAAAGGGCTATACTAGCTAATATATAATTATTACTCACACATCCTACTCCTAAGATCCCATATTTTCAAAGTCCTATCATGACTTCCGGTGATAACTTTCGAAGGTTCTCCCAGGAATTTGGCTGCCATAACTTTCCCACTGTGTCCAGTTAACGTATGCTGAAACAATGTTATAAACGTTAATTTTCATTCGTAATGTAAAAAGAGATGTTATAATGATAATATTTTAAAACCGGTAACTTAAAATTATTTCTTGAGATAAGGAGAATGAGTACATCTCGCGATCACTTCCGGTGATATTCGAGCTTTTATAGTAGATTCTTTTTGCATTCATTTTACGGTATTTAGTTCAAGTTTATTAAATATTTGATATATAAAATTTAATTAAGCTTCATTGATGATAATTTAAAAAAAGTGATACCGCGCCCATAGACACTCACATTGCCAGAGGGCTTGCAAGTCCATTGCCGGCCTTTTTTGTTAATGGTAGTGGACAGCGTGGATTTAGAATTAAGTACTTCCAAAAAATTATATTAAAATTTTTTTAATGTTAGTAATTATTTTTCAAAGTCCAGTAATTATTTTGTCTGATGAACAATGCTAAAATCGCGATTGGTCATTATTTAGTAATGCTAATGTTTGTATAACATTCAATAAGGCACAATTTAGTCCTTCATTGGCCATTAGCACGAGTACATGGCGGCGCATGCGCAGCTAGTTGCGACGAACGATTATTGTCCAATGTTTACGGCTTCGTGATCACACAACTGGCCTCGGCCCGTGCTATACTGACGTCTCACGAACAGATTTGCTGTAAGCTTATTTACATAGAAAAAGCTCATTAATTATCCGTTTAATGTCCACAACCCTTGTGTACCTATTTGTGTAACTTTATTGCATCTTACTGCTGCATTTGTCAAAACCCGTTTCATAACTCAAAATAGGAATCATCGATAACCATAACCAACCGAGTTACCTTGATAAAAATGATACAGTGTAATAGGCCGGCAACGCACTTGCGAGCCCACTGGCAATGTGAGTTTCAATGGGCGTCGGTATTACTTAATATCAGGCGAGTCCTGCCCATTTGTTATTTAAAAAATAGATACGAAACGAAGAATTCTATCAGTCACGATCAGATCATATGCTGGATATTTGGTTTAGAATCCTGGCGGTTTCTGTACAAACTTTCCATTAACCTCAGTTCATATATATCATAGATAAATTATACAGGCTGTTCAAAAAGTCGTCAATAAAACGCAACTAGGGGTTAGATGGGGTCATCAGCTGCAAAAAAATTATTCTACAGGAGGTCCTTCAGCTCAACCCTTGCAGAGTTATAAATTATTTTGCGTTTTTATAAGAAAATTGACTTTTATTACTAATTCTTATTAAAATTAAAAAAAAATCTACATCCTGTATCTTTTTCGTAGTATCCACTAGATTGTACTGACGAGTCCTTGCGTTAGACATGCTATTTATGGTTGTTTATTGGGTGTATTGAAGATAATATTAAGTTATACGATACAAAATTTTCTCAAATCATAACGTTTTGTTTACTTCGGACCCCACTGTGAAAAAAAAATACTCTACCGAAAAGTGACCCTGAATTACAAGTTTTGGCGCATTTCATAGGGATTCTGAAAAGGTATTACACATAGCCATGAGTGGCTCTAATTTCTTTCTAGGACGAAAAAACAAAGCAACGATAGTGAAATAATTGTTTTAATAAAACATTTTACAATAAGCACTCAAAATTCCTGCCACTGGCAATAATACATAATCTGCACAAAGGGTAATTGGATATTAATAAGCCTAATTAAACAATAGTCTAGTACCATAACTAAAGTCTCAGTGCGTCTGGCCTTCTTAATTACAGACAAAACACTCCGTTATCCGAACGTGTCGACTCTCATTCCATTTATGCGAAGAACAGTTAACATAAACAAAGGCGATCGTAGAACGAACCGCAAACATTGATCTGCACTTGCCAAGCGAGATGTTTGCTTAACTTTAGTGTTCTGTAACTTATTTAGTACTGTATCCCAAATTACGTTTAGTTATTTATGTGTGTGTATGTTTATTTTATATTTTTAAATTTTCCAAAATTCTTGCGTCTTCTATATTATATTAGGTCCTTACATATGAAATTGGCGTTTTGTATGGGAGGAACAAAAAGTCAAATATATTTTTAAATAGAATATATTTAATTAATCAAAGTATGAACCATTGTTTTCTATGCACTTTTGCCATCTCATAGGTAGTTCATTGATCCCTTTACTAAAAAAATCAGTCGGACGGGAATCAATAAAATCTGTGAAGGCGATTTGGACAATTTTTTCCCTTGCAAGAAGTTGTCCAAATTTCGAAAAAAATGGTAATCTGTTGGAGCAAGGTCCGGGGAGTACGGAGGATGTCTTAGACATTCCAATTGAAGCTCTTCTAATTTGGTAGCCGTCTGTTGTGCAGTGTGTGGTCTAGCGTTGTCGTGAAGTAGCAGTGGCTTGGAGCGATTGACCAGCCTAGGTTGTTTAGCCGCTAGCTTTTCCATCATGGTTTACAATTGCTGACAATAGACATCAGCCGTAATAGTCTGGCCAGATTTGAGAAAACTGCAATGAACAATACCGGCACTAGTCCACCAAACGCTTACAAGTAACTTTTTTGGGGTTCATTTTCGCTTGGGGCAGGATTTGGCTGGCTGGCCAGGATCCAACCATTCTGAGTCCATTATCTAAAGAATCCCTTTTTCATCTACTTAGGTATGTTCGGTTTAAAACCTTCTTTTTTTGCCGGGCCCTCAGTATGCCGTCCAGCAGCGACGCGCGTTTGCCGGTTTGCTTCTCAATTCGTGCAGGTACCCATCTTTCAGAAATTTCCAGAACGAAAACGTTTGATACTAACACAAACTAATCGGACGTGTTTTTCTTTTGCAAGCTTCAATACTCCCTTCCTTTTAGTCAAATTTCCAGAACGAAAACATGGAACCAAAAACGAACCGTTTTTTTTTTTTTCCCCACCCCCCCCCCCCCCCCCCCCCCCCCCCCCCCCCCCCCCCCCCCCCCCCCCCCCCCCCCCCCCCCCCCCCCCCCCTAAATAATGCGATACTTTAAGTTTTCCATTTTGTAAAATGAGTGACGCAAACAGAAAAAAACAGAAGAAAAAAAACAAATGAGTGACGGTCATCGAAGCAAAAATACATGAGTAAATAGCTGTACAAATTTGAATTTGGAATTCCTTACCAAAGAGGAGAACATCGTGATTAAAGTGGCCAGTACGAAAAACGCCAATTTCATATGTAAGGACCTAATATATATTATAATGATAAATTAAATTTATCAGGTATAAACTTCTGGATAAATTAAAGATACCATAGTATGAATCTTCCATGGTTTTTATTGAAAGTATTCATAGTATTATGAAATTACTGGGCACTTTACACAAATAGAAGTGATTACTATAGATTTCAGTCAAATTTCATAAGTAAAATCGGTAGCAATCACAATTTCTGTTTTTAAGCAATTAACCCAAATCTATAAATATTGTTCGTATTATATTTAGGTAATGCAGCAATTCAAAAATGATATTTAACAATCTTTTGCTTAGATTATTGTAAATCTTTATTATTCAACAAGTGCTGATGCTTAGTGGCTATCAGAAATATGTTGGAAACTTTAAAAAACAGGGATTTAAAAAATCTTTTAATAGGTCCACAACATCTTTAGTCTAAATAACTATGGTCATCAGGTAGCCATTTCGAAATCCTTTAATAGCACACCATAAATATGTGATTAGTAAGTCACAAACTATATGGGTACGGAATATACAAGATAACTTAATGAAATTTTTTGGAAAAGAAGTCTCTGCGAAAGGTTGAGAACCCCTTCCACCTCGGAAAGGGTAAATTTCTGGGGAAAATTTATTAGCTTACTTACAAATCCTAGGAATAGCAATTTTTGGGCGAACGACTACGACATGACAGGTTTTACGACTCAACATAGGCCATTGCAAATACCAAACACTGGTCCCAGTAACATAAACAAAGGCGATCGTAGAGCGAACTGCAAACATTGATCTGCACTTGGATGCCAAGCGAAATGTTTACTTAACTTCGGTATTTTGTACTGTACTTATAGTAGACATACGATACTAAAAATTACGCCTTTAGGCTCTACAATTTGTTGTGTCAACTGACTGGCTTCGGTTTAAAATAATAATTTTTATTATTTGATACTAGTGGCCCGTCCCGGCTTCGCACGGGTGGACATTTTTAAATATTGATACATTCTTTGATATTGTGGTACATTTTTTTGTTCTATCATCAATAGTTTTCGCAACGCATGCAATTAAAGATATTTTTATAAGATTTTTTTAGCAATTAAAATATTCTATATTAATCAGTGTTAATGTAGCATTCAAATGGTGAAAGAATTTCTAAAATCGGTCCAGTAATTTTTGAGCCATTTCGTTACAAACATAGTTACATACAAATCTTTCCTCTTTGTAATATTAGTATAGATATAATTTAAAGTAAACATTTCAATAACAAGAATCACAAACAGCCAATTTAACATTCTACGAATATAAATAAAATACCTTAATTTTTATAAGAACCTATTGTTGGCAATGGATTGCGCAATTCTGCGTCACAAATGCATGTCTTAAAACTATAAAAATATATTTATGAATGATAGATGTGTAAATGTTCTTCATGAAATTACCTACATCTTGTGCACTTTTAAGTAATAGCCTATAATTGCCTGGTTATTACATTAAATAACGTCTTACTAGTGCAAGTATAATTGTTTCTAATTTTAAATACGTGATATTCCTAATACGTTCTTGTCCGGTGATCAAGCCTTTTTTGATTAGACATAACATCGCCATAGAAGTTATTGTTATCTCTTTTTCCATACCGCTTTATGCCGCATAATTAAAAGACTATTATTATCCTCGATGAACGAAAAAATAGACTGCATATTTCATGGAACTCGGCGACAGGTTTGTGAGGCAGTAGGAGAATATAACAATTATCCTATAGGTATAAGTTACAAAATGCTTTATCATCTTGTTCGTTATTTCTCAAACAAAACACAGTCAAGCAAGCTAATTAATAAACTTTTTAGAAA